CACACACACACACACACACACACACACACACACACACACACACACACATACAGACATGCAGATTTACGAACACGTGTTCGGTGGAATTCGTCCCAACGAGATACGTCATCGCGGCTCAATCAGAGCCTACCTATTCTTCGGCACCTTGAGCCAAGCGGAGACTGGCCGAGGGGACTCGAACAGTCCGCGCAGCACGTGCATGTGGCGCTCGGTTGATGCAGGCTCGGTGGGCCGGACACGAGGCCGATTTGGGACGATCGGGATTCGGGGGTGACGTGTGTCCGAAGTAGGTGGGCTGAAGTGGAGCGGCGAGGATGGGGTCGAGGTGGAGGAGAGTTCGGCTACATGAGGCTGATTGCGCAATGCGTCCGCCGGCAAATTTCGCTAATTATCTCGATACGCCACGTATGTCAGCCAATTTGCGCCGCCTTGTTGCAAAGGGACCGACAAAAGTTGCCCACAAAGCTTAGTCGACCGGCCGGGTCTATGGACAGATGGATGCATGGATAGATAGACGTGTTAATGAAGTGATGAATGTATGGAACGACGGAATTATGAATGGGCGAATGGATGGATGGATGGATGAATAGACGGGATAGACGGGGAGGGATGAATGTATGGATAGATGGAATTATGAATGGGCGGATAGATGGATGTATGTATGGATAGATAAACGGGTGTGTGAATGGAGTGATGAATGTATGGAACGACAGAATTATGAATGGGCGGATAGATGGATGTATGTATGGATAGATAAACGGGTGTGTGAATGGAGTGATGAATGTATGGAGCGACAGAATTATGGATGAGCGGATGGATGGATGGACGGATGGATGGATAGACGGGTGTGTCAATGGAGGGATGAATGTATGGATAGATGGAATTATGATTTGCGGATAGATGGATGTATGTATGGATAGATAAACGGATGTGTGAATGGAGTGATGAATATATGGAACAATGGAATTATGAATGGGCAGATGGATGGATGGATGGATAGATAGACGGTCGTGTGAATGGAGTAATGAATGTATGGATAAACGGAATTATGAATGGGTGGATGGATGAATGGATGGATGGATAGACGGGTGTGTGAATGGAGTGACGAATGTATGAATAGACGGAATTATGAATGGGCGGATGGATGGATGGATGAATGGATAAACGGGTGTGTCAATTGAGGGATGAATGTATGGATAGATGGAATTATGAATAGGCGAATGGATGGATGGATGGATAGTTAGACGGTCGTGTGAATGGAGTTTAATGTATGGATAGATGGAATTATGAATA